TGCTGATTTTGCAACACCATAGTTGACTATTCAAACATTTCCCAAATGCTGCATTGTATAACTGTAGAGGTAGTTCAGGTTGGATTGAATAGAGGGTGATGCCATAGACTGAGCATTCCTTAGAGTTCATGGGCCATTGCATTTTCCTTTGTTTGGGCTAAAGAAGCTCTTCGGGGCCTCATATTTGGAAGGGTCTCAAATTGTGACTTTTTGAAGGTGTCATCAAATGTGGCTATTCATATAGTCATTTCAAATATACATGTGTGAAGATCTTGATGCAGTGATGCAGACAAAAGCATCTCAAGCCCATTCCTGGCTTCTGCCTAGGCAGATATATTATGGTGAAGAAGGGTAATAAGCTTTATATGTGATTGAGACTTAAATAACGTACAGAAATTCTAAATTTTAAATAGAAACATTTAAAATGTGCTACATGAAATCCCAGCGGCTCAGGAGGAGGCTGAGGCAGGAGGATCACAAGTTCAAAGCCAGACTCAGCAATAGAGAGGAACTAAGCAACTCATTGAGACTCTGTCTCTAAATAAAATACAAAATACTGCTGGGGATGTGGCTCAGTGGCTGAGTGCCCCTGAGTTCAATCCCCGGTACAAGCACTACAGTTTAGGAACCCTATTTTAGATTTTAGAAACATTTAAATATATTTGGTGCTCAAAGGTCCAAACTTCTATGGACATTCAGAATTCCAGCTGAAGGGAGATTAGAAAATTATTTAATTTCTGCTTGTAATTAATTGTATATGTGTATATTATCTTTGGGGATAATATTCAACTTTATCTTCTTTTACTTATTTTTATTCTGTAGGTTGAGGTGAGTAGTTACGGAACTATGAAAAAGAAACCCATAATATAGTTCAGCTTTTACCACCTGCAAGAAGGTAGAGAGGATAATATACCAGTACAGAGTGCTTGACTCATCTTTGTGATAATATGGAACTCTGCTGTTTGAATAATTTAGAAAGATTTCTGTAACATTTCTCTATGGATTTTTACCTTTCTTTTTTTTTTTATGAGAACCAACATTTAAAAAGAGATAAGGCAAAGAATTTGGAGTGCCAAAGCCCTGACATCAGAAAAGATCACAAATTGTCTTCAGTTCTCTAAGCCTGGAAATGAAAAGGCACAGGGTAAATCCTATGTTAAAGAGAAATCATAAAAGTGTTTTTAACTGCAGTTCTGTTAGTCTTCCATTTTTTTTTTTTTTTTAGGAAAGTCTTAGTCCATCCAATAAACATTTACCTACAACACCATAAAAACCAGTTGGATTCACATAAGTGTGGTCCGAATTTGAGAGCTGCAGGATGGGGAGAGGCGGGAGGTCTATGGACTTAATCTGCTTTATTAGATTCTGAGTTCACAAACCTAAGGGCTGAAATGATAAAAGACAACTCTTCTGGGGAGAACAAAGCATCATAAACACAGTGTAATAAAGAGAAGATAAAAAGAAACAGAATCGAGAAAAAGGTAGATAATTTAAAGAATAGGTGAAGTGAGAGCAAAGAAAGCAGTGGATACAGTTCAAAATCACTCAAAGTTAGGTCATTTGGTTTCTTAAGTATTACTGGTTCTATACCTCTTCTTCCAGTTTGGCTGTAACCAGAGTCTATTTCCAAGTATTATTTTGTCCCATGACTAAAATTAGCAATTTGGGTACAATCGAGATGAGAACAAGAGGTTATCTTTCCCTGTACCATTGCAAAATGCCAGGATGGTCTGACTGAGGTTTCTGTTTTGCTTTTAATTGTTGACTAATCTTGATCTAGCTGCAGGTCTCTCTCTGAGGACACTTTTGAAGGTAGAGATTTTAAACAGGATGACCAGAGATTTTAAATATGGGTGAGAAAAAATATAATTCAATGCATAGGTATGAGCTAAATCAGCTTCTTCAGAGCTATCAGTTTTATACTCTCAGTAGATAACATTATACTGGCATGTGCATTCTAGCACCTTCTCTGTACTGTTTGAAGATGATAGGCAGGAATCCACGGAAGAGCTGCTAAAATGGTTGTATTATCACCACATATTCTCTTTCTCTGTGTGAAGAAAAATGAAGATTTTATTGCAAGTTTTTTGTTTCTTATAAAATGATCATATAAAACTCACAGCATGTATTGAGAACTAGTGAAAATGACCAAAAGAAATAGTAATACAAGAAAAAGAGCCAAATTCCRTTAACCCCAATTTAAACTCTATATCCATCTGCCTTTCCTTCATCCATTGTTCTCAGATAGGCGAATGTCACCAGACCCAAACTGTCAGTCAGCCTCCTGGTGATCCTCCACCACCCATCTTCTCCCCTGCTTCCCTGCCCTGCTAGTTTCATTATTTTCTTCAGAAACTTTTCAAAAGATCTCCATCACTAAAAATTGGAGTTGTAGACATAATGCTCTTTTCAGTCAGGATCATTCCATTCTATTCTTCTATTTTGCTTCAGAAAGTTCCCCTCTACAGTCAGAATGACTTTCACTGTTGTCAGAATTTGCTTTTAGAATTTCTGCCTTTTTCATGCACGAAGCTTTTCCTGTCTTCTCTGCTTACTGGAATCTCACATGAACTTTCAAGGCCCTGCTCAAGGCCCAGGAGCTCCCCGAAACCTTCTTGCATGGCCGACCCCAAGAAGGGACTTTTCATCTGCTGGGGTGCGGGAGCACACTGCAGTCATCCTGGCATTAATTATGTCAGAGTCTGGGAAGCCAAGCATCTCTTCATGTGAACACATCATATTCCTCAGCCCCAGCCCTGGAGTGCAGACCAAGTCTTGCACACCTGTTCCTGGTGGCACTTACTTGAATTTCGTTTATGAACAAGTGGTGTCTGTCACCTTGTTGCCCAGAATTGCTTCATTATGCCCTATCACCCTGCTTCTCATTTTGTTTGTTTTTAAAAGGCTGTACATATTGTCATACTGGAACCAAATCGGAGCTGAATATGTTGCCTTTGCCATGTTTTAAAAATTTTAAAAGAGCATAAATCTATTACCACATTATGTACAATCATATTACAGTATGATTTTGAGAAATATTCAGGGCTTTGGGCTCAGTGAGAGAATGCTTGTCTACCATGCATGAGGCCCTAGGTTCCATCCTTAGCACCATTAAAAAAAAAAAAAAAAAGAAAGAAAGAACTATTTAGGGCATTAAATTATGTTTAAGTTTGTACTTTCCTTACCAAAGAAAAGTTATTATGAAGTTTGTCAAGGCCAGACCAGACCAAACATTTCTTCATTAATTTTGGTAATATCTAAACATGTCAAAATGATCTAGGATAAAACGACACACAAGGATCTTAGTTATTTGGTTCATTTAATTTCTGTGAAATTAGTTTTTCTGTACATAGATTTGATTTTTAAAAAGTATTAGAAAAAATTTTTGTGATAAGAATTTTGCTATGTAGAGCAGGATCAAAAGGAATATAAGATCCTTTATAGAAATCTCTAAGTGTGCTTTTAATTATCAAATATGCTATTTGCTACAATTTTTATTATATATAAAGGTCAGAATTACAAGCAAAATTTTAAGGGAGGAAAAGCTTTTGAAGATTTATGCATTTATCACTTCTTTAATATGAAGATATAAAATAAAATTCACTTATTGGAGTACATCCACTCTTGTTTAGTTGACCCACTATTAAATAGGATTTTACCAGAATAGAAGTCTTTAATTTTCTAAAAATTATTGCTGGTCTTTGCTCCATCTCACATTCATGAAGTAATTTTGCAAACAGAGTGAAAACCTAAGTTGGAAAGATCAAAACTGGATGATGGAAACAGTAATTTAAAATGGAATATTATTTAGATTTTCCTGATATTAAAATTAGGACTTTTTTTTACTATTGCTTTATTCCCAAAACCATAATAATTCTCATCTGAGTAAAGACAAAGCTACCAGATGACTCTAAAAATGGAGAATATGTTAAGAGACAAGTATAACAATAAAATCAAGTATAACACACTAAGTTAATAGATCAAATAGGCCACATTTGAAAGGAAAAAGAGAAATGGGTAACTAGGCATTTTGTTTAATGTTTAATGTATTGCATCAACTTAAGAATTTCTTAATCAGAGAACAATGTCTAGGTTTTTTTTTTTTTTAAATAGAAATAGGAATTGACACAACTGATGTAACCTAGCATTGCTTCTGATTGGTTATCAGATTGTGCACTCACTTCCTAAATATTTAAAAGGCAACAAACCCTTAATTTTGGATTGATTTCTAATCTGTTTTTCTCACCTTACTTTCAGAATAGTGTCTAGCTGACAAATTTCCATAACAGAATAAATTATTTGCTAACACATTTCAACCCTTCCTTATGTATATGGAGAGCTATGTGGGTTTTTTAAGTGGAGAAAAATGTCCATTTAGAACTCTTTCAAAACATCAAATAGCCTTTGCTTATTTTGAGGTTGGTAGCAGTGGCTGATAATGGCATATGCTTTTCAATCTCCCACACCTTGGATAGATAACTTGACATYATTTGGAAGTGTATGTCATTCTGTAAAATTTCCTCCAAACAGATCAACAGTTCAAAAGAAAATAACTCCTCTACTAGGTAATGAATTTTTTTTTTTTGCTTTTGTGATTATGTTATTTCATTAAATAATCAGTCCCTATTACTGTGGTTACTGGTTTGACTTGTATTCATTAACCCCCCAAAATCAGCATTTCTAGATTTATCAGCCAACCAATCTATAGCATTTTGTTGAAGAATGACACCCAAGTAAAAATTTCAGTGAGTATTTTGCTGTATAAAAGCCAGAATTCTAAAAGCAAATAGAAATTGGTGTAACTGATGTTTAATCCAGTTGTACAACAGTAAACTGAGTTTGCTTCTTCTTTTTTTTTTTTTTTTAAGCTGACGCAAGTTGGGCAGAGGGAGGTGTTGGAGAAAGGTGATGGTGTTGATTGGCTTGTCTCGTTCACTCCCACTGGTCTTTAAATCATTGTCTAGGTCTCCAAAGGTTCATCTCAGTCAACTCTGTTTCAGGGGTCTGCCATTCCAAACAATTCAGGAAAGACTGCACAGGACTGGATAAATAATTAAGGTACAGCTATTTTTACATATAAATGTTTGCAGTGTTAAATGGTGCTTTCTTATTATGTTGCTTTTTTATTCATTACAAACTAAAATGTTTGAAAATACTACTTGGGTAACTTTTTTTTTCATTTTAAAAAAGATCAATCAATGTCAAACATTGAAATTATTTGCCCAGATCCTGAATGCAGTTTTCTTTTATAGAAAATTTTAGATTTGAGCATAAAATCAGAAATGTGGATAAGAAGAAAATGAAACATTATGAAGACAGTAGGTTTAGTTTTAGTTATTTATGTCTTCTGGTTGCTCACTGAATGTAATAAAGTGTTGACATAATTTGTCTTAGGATCAAACACAAAGTTGTAGAAGTACAGTTTAATGTTACACCATTAAGGATTTTCCTGTATTTTGAAAACAAAATAAAACAAAAACAACCTAAAAACATTGAATCAAAAGAAGGAACATCACATGAGTACAGCAGATGTAAATGACTAAAGATTTGGGCTAAAACATAATCGAAGGAAAAAGAAAAAGAGTTATTCTTACCTTATCTTCTGAATTTGACCATTTTAAAAAGAATTTTTAGAACAAAGTTACTAGAAGAAACTGGGGAATTGTATAGAATATAAACATAGCTTTAGTTTTTGAAGGACTGGAATTGATTACCTAAAAATAGGGTTGTTTGCTTCAAATTTATTAATCAGAAAGGGAAAATTCCCAGTGGATTTAAGTATAGTTGTGTCTTAAGCACCTTACAGAGTATATGATGATGATCTGTCTTAAAAGCCCAGGCAATAGCAAAATTGAAAAATATTTGAACTGAAGGAATATATCATACTCATGGAAATTGATTGGGCTACACAGAGGTTGTAATATTTGGACAAACTGAAGAAATTTAGGTGTTGTTTTCTATAAAAGATTGCTGTTTACTTTACAGTTCAAGAACCTCCTGTTCATATTTATATTTACATCATGTTCTGGGATTTTCTTGATAGAATTTATACATAGATTCCTAAGAAGTACATCGGCAATATTGGAAATTCTGAAAAAAAAATGTACTTTTGATCACTCTCTGGAGTTTTCTTTAACCATGTTATACAATATGTTTTAAAGATTGTGAATCATAATGGCGTAGGGGAGCATGTGAGGAATGGAGGAACTTCAGATAGGGCAAAGGAGAGGGAGGGAAAAGGAGAGGGGATGGGGATAGGAAATATGGCGGAATGAAATGGACTTCATTCCCCTAGGTACGTGTATGAAGACACGAATGGTGTGACTCTACTCTGAGTACAACCAGAAAAATGAAAAATTGTGCTCCATTTATGTACTAAGAATCGGAATGCATTCTGCTGTCACGTATAACAAATTAGAATAAATAAATTTTAAAAAAAGATTATGGAAGCAATTATTTTTAATATGATTTACTTTAAATAAAGTAACGACATTTTTTTTCCAAAAGAAAAACAAGTACCTGTGGGGTGGCCTACTATCTATTATATAGAATATAAATATTTCAGAATTCACTGCATCCAGTTTATTAGCTGTTATGCATTTAAAATGTATAGCATGAAGAGTCACAGTGATAATAACATAGATGCTACATATCCTTGAATATTCTGCAAGCTAACTACTGTTGGAAAAAAATGATCTCAAATTTATTTCAGAATTATATGATTAGAAAAATTTATGTCTTCTAAGAACAGATCTGGAAAGCCTGTCTGGGGGGAAAAAAATTCAAATATAATGCTTTAATTCTTATATTAGCCACAAGGTAGTGTTTTAGCTCAGGGAAGAGACCTCAGCATAGGGTTAGTTATTGTGCCTTTTCTAGATTTTTCCAGATTCTATTTCTAAGCTGCATCTCAGTAAGGGAAAGGAATGGAAATGCTAAAATATTAGCACCAGCAATAGGAAATAGTCAAGTAAAGAAGGCCCTATTGTTATTGGCAAGTTTCCTCTCTTAAGACATTCCACCTCAGACTGAATGTCTCGTGGAAGCTAATTTCTGTGAGAAACTGTGCCGCAGACTAACAGGCTACCTTACTGTCAAAGTGTGGCTAGAATGGAATTGCTGGGATATTAAAGGAACTTAACATAATGGCAATATTAGATAGGCTTAAAAGTTAAAGCCGTAGTCATCTATCTGAGGTATAAGTTAGATGTCACTTTAAATTAGTCCCTTGGATGTAAGATACTTGACTTTCTGAAGTTGCATGACCAGCTAGCCTCACTTGCTCAATGCTGAATGCCATGTGGGGCTGTCTGCTACCTAAACCAGACGTCAGAGTAGACTTGTGAGTTCTGGGTTGGTATGAGAGATCAGACCAACAGTGATGGTGGGAAGTCTATGCTGATGATGATAGCTCTCTTTCCACCTGGATTTACCAGCAAAATAAATGTTTGCAGTACCTACAAGAAGGTCATAACTTCTGCTTCTTGACTCAAGAATAGTTTTGCTTACCTGATTTGGTATCTTTCTTTCAAGTTGAGCCACGCATGTAAAATTTGAGAAATTTACTGTTTTGAGAATCTTCCATCCTCAGTGTGTTAGGTAACCACTCACACAACAGAACATTAAAATGTACTAGAATTTGGATGTAAGGAATCAGTTACTTAGGGCATTTAGATATTTCCTTTTCTTTTGATATTGTTGTTGTTTTGATTTTTTAGGTAGTCCTAGGGATGGAACCCAGGGCTTCACACCTGCTCAGCAAGTACTGTACCACTGGGCCACATCCTCAGCTCCTAGATGACTCTTAATAAATGTGATAAAAATGGAAGTCTTCTAACCTGATAGTATTCTGAGTACTTTTGCTTCAAGCTTTGATTTTCTAACTCCACGAATGAGTCAATTGAATCGGCAGTGCTGTTGACCTCTGTATTGGAATATCCAATCGTTTTCTGTAAGACCTCTTTGTATCACAGGGAAACTTAATGGGCAGGAAGGCTGAACTACAAAAAACTTCTGTCAAATCAAATTTGATCTTTCTTTTAGAAATGCTTTGACTATCTTTGAGCAAAAAGCTGTTCTTTTTCCTGGTGAGCAGGAAAACAGTTCCATTTTATCTTGAACTATTAATCCCTACAACTGCAACAGGAGTGCATGCCTGTATCCATAATGGAGATCACTTCAAAGAATGTTGGTCTTAGTAGAATATGGCATCAGGCACCGTGCTAGATGCTGGGGACAGGTAGAGTCTACAGTCCCAGCACTGTTCCACCTTTGTGAAGCTTCCTGCCTAGAGGGAAAGACAATTCTTTGTCAAATAATTACACACATAAAAATGTAGGTACAGAGAATGATGAGTATTCTGAGGGAAAGGAGAACATGCTACAGGAGCATATGATGAGGATCTAGCTTTGTTGTGGGGGTCAAGGAAGGATTCTCAGACCATACGGCCTTTAAAGATGTTTAGGTTGTCTTGGTGAACATCAGGAGACACCCGGTTAAGAATGTGTAGAAGTTCATACCATGCAGGGAGCCCCGCTGGGTTGAAAGGTCCTGAGGTCGTGATGGGGAAATGAAAGAAGCCCATTGGATTCAGAGCATGTGATTCTACCTGGGGCTAGATGGCTGGGCCTGAGTAAGAGGATGTGGAGCCCTACAGGATATGAGGACACTTGACTCAAAAATCCAATAGAAAATCACCACGGGACTGTTAGGAAGTTATCTGGAATAACGGCAGCCATGGAGGTAGAAGTGGTGGATTTTAAACATATGTTGAAAGAAGGACTGATCGGACTTGGTGATAGGTTGGAAATGAATAGAGAGGTGACAGRCAGCGGATGAGAGGTGTCAATGATGATGGCTAGATTTCTCCAATGGGTGAATGGGCAAATGGAGGCGCCATGTACTCAGACGGGGAGCAGTGGAAGAATTTAAGCCTGTGGAAATTGTATCTTTGAGTCAGTGGTGGCGTTTGTCCACATCATGCTTTTCTACTCTGCTCCTGCAGTGATTCACTGTGTAGTTCAATAAGAATTTATCCAGAGGAAAAATAGCAAAGATGTTACTTATGTATATTATATAGTTTATTCCAAACTCTGTTTGCGCTCACAGGTCGAGCTCCTCGGGTGCAGGAATTGTCTTATTCATTTTCTGTAACTTTCATAATTTCTGGCTCATGTTTCATTCTCAATATTTATTGAACAAATGAATAAATAAGTACCATCTGTGAAACACTCCAAAATTGAAATATAATAATGTGAGTAATCATGCAACTAAATTTTAGCATTCACAATGCAGGCTAAATACTTCAAGGTACACCCTTGGTGCTGCAGGCAAAGGATTCAGAATATTTCATTTCTCATAATGTTCTAATGATTTTTAAAAATGTGCTTTGGGCTGCTATTCCCCTAAAATAGGCTAGTAATAGAATGTTCAGAGGCAAAAATACGAGCTATGAAAATGTTTTCTAACTTTTGTGAGAGTTCCCATGACAAGGACCAAAATTAGGACTATGGGCTGAGGTCTTAAGCTACTATTTCATGGGATGTATCACCGTCAAAAGAGAACCAGATGAATGTTTCATGTATGGTAAAAATAGCATAAAATAAGGTCTTAATTTTCTTATTTGTGAAGGAGGACCTATCTTGCTTGCGATGTTAATGAAAATTATGAGAACTATAAAGCCCTCTTTTAGAAGTGCCTGAGATAAATTAAGCATATGAAATGCGTTGTCTGTTTGTGTGCAGATGCAATCATCGATAGGATTCTGAGGGGAAAAGAATGTGAATGTATTGAGGGGCTAGTAGATGCCAAACTTTGACATACATTATCTCATTTAGATCCACACAGTGTTACTTTTGTGGGAAACAATAATACCCTCATTTTGCAGAAGATGAAAAGGGCAGAAGTTAAATAACATGGTCAGGATTTATACCCAGCTCTGTGTGTCACTATGGCCAGAATTCCTGTTCCCAGTACAAACTTTAATTCTCTTTAGGAGAGATAGCAATACAGAGATGGCAGAGTCTGGAGTCCACTGAGCCTGTGTCTCCATGACTCATCTGGAATAAGAACAAAATTAGCCACTGTGAACAGCATGTGCAAATAGCCTGACATGTTAGAGAACATAGTCCAGTGCATTCCTGAAACTCAAAGAAGAGTGTATCTAGAACACTGAGAAGGGAAGTGTATAGCTCAGAGAGGTGGGTGGACTATGTGGAACCTTGCTGGATGTTGTTTGGATATGTGCCCCCCACAGACTCATATATTGAAGGCTTGGTCCCCAATGCAGCAATATTCAGAGGTGGGACTTTTGGGAAGTTATTGGATCAGGAGTTCTCTGACCTCATTAGTGATTAATCTGTTGATCACTGAATAGACTATTGGGAGGTAGCAGAGGCTGAGGGAAGTGGGACTTAATAGAACGAATGGATCCTTAGGAGCGGTCATGCCCTTGGGAACATCGTCTTGTCCTTGGTCCCTTCTCTGTTCCTCTATATCTCTTTCTCTGCCTCTCTTCCTCCCTCCCCCCACTTCCTGGATGCCATTAGCTGAACAACATTCCTCCACCACACCCTTCTGCCATGGTGTTCTCCCTTGCCTTAAGCCCAAAGCAAGGAAGCCATCCAGCCATGGACTGAGACCTCTGTAACTATGAGCTAAAATAAATCCATCCTCCTTMTAAGTTGTGTATATCCGTTATTTTGTCATTGCAATGAAAAGCTAACACACTGGGCTTGTTGAGAGTTTGGGATTTTATTTAAAAATAAAGGGATGACATTAAAGGGTTTGAAGCAAAGAAATGTCGTGATCTATGTTGTTGCTGTTTGAAGATCGCTTTGGCTTTTGTGTGGAGGATGAATACGACAGTTAGAGAGGCATCTAGGAGCTCAGTTAGGAGGCTATTAAAGTACACACTAAGAAATGATGGTAGCTTAGCAAGAGTGATGGTGGAAGAAATGGAAAGGAGACGAACTCGAGAAATACTTCCATTAGCTGTAAAATCAATCAGACGTTTCTTAAGGACTGGATGTTGGGGATAAGGAAGAAAAATTCCTAACAGAAGACTCTTGAACTCTGGCTTAAATAATTGAATAAATAGTGCAGCAGTTTTTGAATAGGAAAGAAGGGAACTATCACAAGGTAGATTTTAGGCACATTGAATTTAAACTGTCTTGAGATATGCAGGTGTCAGCTACGCCACTGGACTCAGGGCAGGCGCTTACATCAATAACTCTGTGGTCCTCAAAGACTCCTCAAGTTCCGTCTTCAGCCCAGGCTTTTCCTAAGTCCCTGAATATGAAGCTCTAAGAACAGGATCTCCAATGTCTAAGGGCAAAGGATGGATGTCCCAGGCCAAGGAGAGTCAATTTGTCCTTCTCCACCTTTTTATTCTGTTCAGGCCCTCAACCCCTTGGATGATGCCTGTCCACATTACTGCCGGCTGATACTCTTTACCAGGTCTACTGATTCAAAGGCCAATCTCTTCCATAAATACCCTCCCAGACACATTCAGAAATAATGTCTTACCAGCTTTCTGGCTGTCCTTTAGCTGAGCCAAGCTGACATATAAAATTAACCATCAGTGTGTGTTAAGTCTTAGAAGTCGATTGAAAGAAGAGGGCTTAGGATCTAGCCTTGAGGAAATCAAGCAATGAAACCTCAACCAAAATTATACTTCTTAAAAGAACAAGCCCACAAAAACTGTGAAAAATAATAGCAGTGTCATCAACAAACAGATTTTTTTTAAAAAAGAATTCCTAGAAGCTGGAAATGATTTAGATAGTTTGAGAAATAGGAAAGGAACCAGGATAAGTGTGGTTTTTTTTCTGAAGGGAGCTCTGTAGCAGCTCCAAGTTAAGTCAACAAATTCAAAGAGGCATAGATTAGAGGAAACCAGTGATAGGACTCAGCAAGGAACCTCACTTTGGATGTGATGGTCCGTTAGGGCTGCTGGTTTTGCCCATAAAATAAATCTCTGATTGTGTTTATAAAGAAAAGCTGTAAAGAAAAGACTATAGAATTAGCATTAGGGCCTCCATAAAAGACAAAGAGGTCTAACAAGCAGATATAGATACTCCACTCCCTGGATAATATATTTCATCCCCAGAGCTGTGCCCAGGAGTGAAGTTCTCACACACACACAAGCCACAAAGGAGCCACTTACAGAGACCTGCAAGGAAGCAGTGAAATGAGCTGATAAAATGTCTGAGAAACCCCAAGCGCTAGCTGTCTAAAGTAACCAGTCCACTCCTTCATTCATAACTATGAACAGACAACCAAGGATTATAAGAATTTTAGGTAAACCAGCAGCATGAAAGAGAAAAACAACAACGAGCAAACAGAGTAACTGCCCCAGAAGAAACAAGGAACTTCTGAAAGCTTCCCATCAATATCCTTATAAAAGATTTGGGAAGGGGCCAGGGATGTGGCTCAGTAGTAAAGTGCTTGTCTCACATGCATGAAGCCCTGAGTTTGAACCCTAGTAACACACACACACACACACCAAAAAAAAAAAAGAAGAAAAGAAAAAAAATATTTGAGGAAATGTTGCATCCATAAAACTAAACAAAAGAACAAATTATGAATAAAAATTAGAAACATGATTAAGAAAAATAGTTGCTTGAATAGTTAAGTTGAAAAGTCAAATGGATATGGTTGAAGATGTTTGTTATTTTGGATGTGACATGGAGGAATTATACTTGAATATAATCAAAACCCCTCTGACTCAGTTTATCAATCCCAGACTGGTAACTAAAAAAAGATAAGGACATTAGCATACTTTTTTCTACCCTCTTTCTACCCTCTTTCTACACTTCTAACTATTTTAGTTAATAAATATGTTTACAATGATTCATTTATTATGTAGTCAAATACTCCACTTGGTTCTTTGGATGATTCTATTTATGCTATCATAATATAAATCTTGGTTATTGGTTTTCTGTGTTTAGAAGCAACCTACAGACAAATTATAACAGATAAAATTGCTTTACAGCAATCATGTGTTGTAATTCTCAACATTGTCCTATGGTCAGTAACAAAGCACCTGGGTCAGAGGGGTTTCAGTGAATTATTTAAATTTAGAACAGCTAACTTTAAATGAAGAAGTAAGAACAGAAACAGTTTGGGTGCTGTTGAGAAGTGAGGCTGGTCATGTGTGATAGGTGAGGGAAACCTTCATACTCATTTGATATGAGTTTCTATTTTTTTTTCTTTTAACTATATGCAAGTCTTCATTCTCTCTGGTAGCTTTTAAGCATCTTCTTTTGACTTTTCATGTAATGAATTTAGACTGCCTGGTATWAGTGACGAATAATTCCTCCTCCTTGAAATACCTGTGCTGTTTTAAATTCTGAGAGTTGCTTCCTCTGGATGATTCTTTACCATTTCATATTTGTTCCATCTCTTTTATTCTTTCCCCCACAATATCTCTTAACATCTCCTTCAATATCTTCCTTTCTTTAGCTCCTGTGCTATAATTTGAGTAATTTCCAGGGGTCTATTACTATTGCTTTTTAGTCTAATAATTTCAAAGTCTTAAATCGCTTTGCTAGTTGTAGTTCCTCAAATGTGAATATTACTGTTTCTTGTGCCTATTGACAATCATATGAGAGAATTTCCCTGTGTGGACTTTTGTGACTTGTAGTTTGGGGTTATGAACTCATCCCAAGTGTGAGCTGCCTTCCAGGTGCTCAGTCTGGCGCTGCATTAAGGAAGCATTGCTTAATGGTTGTTAAATGTTTGTGAGGGGATTTATGGATTTTTGTAAGTTCTAGAGCAACTTTTCTGTTAGTTTCTCTGCTTGGATTTCCTGATCAAACATGAAATCACATTTCAGAACCACTCCTTTCAACCGTGATCATATTTCTCCCATATAATGGTTCAAGAATGATTGAATGAATTAAATAGTAAACATTTCAGAAGACGTTGTATCAACAACATAAAATGGATACATGGCATTTAAAAAAAAAAAAAAAAACACAAAGCCATTTTCACTTTGAGAAAATGAGGCCCAAAAAAGTTAAATGACTTGTACTGAGATCCAGTGAGCAGAACCTAAACGCTATTGTTTTCTGGTTATTAAAATGCATTTTAATTTGATATGGATGGTGACTGATGCTGATTCAAAGGTAAACCTGTGCTTTCGTTTGTTACTATTCTTAACTTTGGCTTCAGGATACAGATGCCTAGAAAGTGGCTTCCTAACCTTGATCCTCTCCTGGATTGCATGTTCATCAATGTGTAGGTTGTTATAATTCTTTCACACTCAGTTAAATTCAGGCAGTAATTTTCTTTCTAATTATTGCTAATTATTGTTAGATCCTATTGTTAGATCTTCCTTTGTCAACAGGAAATCATGCAGTCTGCTTACAAATACCTAAATCTTTGTGATGACTGCTGCCACATCTTACCATTTCTCTTTCTTCCTATGGTGACTAGCAAAGCACCTGTCATGTTCATTATGCACAGGCACTTGTTAAGTATCTACTGGCTTAGCAGCTTTTTGTAAGTTTTCTTCTTCTTCTTTTCTATATGAAGCCAAGGAAACTCTGGGGATATATTTATGTAAAGTTTTTAGGAGTTTACTTCTTTTCCATGTTTGACAGCAAGCACCTTCAAAGTAAGAGATTCATATTTATTATTCTAATTTAAAGAAAATGATAATGATTTATTTTGTGTCCTGTTTGCAGAACACAGCGTTCTGAACATCAACACAAAGTAGAAGAGCCTTAAACTGAAGGGTCAGTATATTATTTACACTGAAGGAGGCGTGCGTGGACAGGAAAGCGCTGACAGGTCAAATGGATCCCATGGAGCTGAGCAATGTCAACATCGAGCCTGATGATGAGAGCAGCGGTGGAGAAAGTACTCAAGACAGCTACACAGGGATGGGCAGTTCAGAAAAGGCAGCAATAAGCAGGTATGGGGTTAAAAATCACCAGCTCCATGCAAAAGCAAGACTGGCTTCTGGATGTGGAAAACAAGGGTGTCCTTGGGAAGAATTGGATTTATTACAAATTGGAGATCACAATGGCCTGGATGTCAACATACCAATTCCCTGATATAGTAATAAAATGTCAACCCTTGGTGTGACTTCATGTCCTTTTCTCCACTAATAATGTTGCCTATAGTTTGATTATATTAGCCGAGCACTGAACTTCATTTTAGAACTATTGTTTCTCAGAGTCTTCTTCCCTTGCTTGCCCTTGAGTGTTGCTTCATCCCCAGGGTTCGATAGCGATCCTTTTCTAGGTGTCCTCTGAGCAAGCTCATTGTAACCATCATGGGGTCACCCACTCAGATGCCACATTCCCAGCCTGTTATTTCACAACCAAGTTTCAGATCATTATACTTAATGGTCTACTGCTACACATTTCTACTGGATGACTAATAATGTCTGAAATACTTCATTCCTAAAGTCAGACTTGTTTAATATCAAATTCCTGTCAGTCTCTTCAAAACCTGTTCCTCCTCAAGTTAGCCCCATCCTGGGAAAATCACCATCAACCTTGGAATCCATCAACTCAGGATCCATCGTAGACGCGTACCTCTTCCCAGACCACACATCCAATGGCCGTCTGTATACAGTCATTTTTACCTAATTAATATTTCAAATCACCTTCTTCTCTCTATCCATTCCATTGTCATCTTTAGGCTCTCATCCTCTCTCACTCGTCTGTCAGAGCAGCCCTGCTTTGTCTGTCCATCTACCATTCTGTTCTCTTCTGTCTAGCCCTTCTCACTTCCACAAGAGTAATCTTCTGTAATTGCATATTGGGTTATATTCCATCCTTGGATAAAGCTCTCCCATGAATCCACCTTAGCTATTAGATACAACTGTACACTGCTTGGCATGTGAGACYCTTCATGACCTGCTCCTGACCGACCTTACCTGTCCTGTTCTTGCCCTCCTCTTATGTACCCGCTTGTCTTCACTCATTCTGTTCCATCTGCTAGAATCCACCCACTTCCCTTTTCTTTCTTGTGATACCTCTCATTCTTCAAGAATCAGCTCAATGTCAGTTCTCCTGGGAAGCCTTCTCCAAATGCCTCTACTCCCCCAGTGACCATCCCTCCTCTGTGCAACCTCCCCTGCAATTAGATAATAATCATATCATTTTCACAGGTTAATGACCTCTGCACTACAGTTATTTAATAAGTAAGTTAATTTCCCACAAAGCATTATATAACACAAGTTGTACATGATTAAAGATGCTCAGAAGGGAATCTTTTGACTAAATCTAAGCCTGAAGTAAAAAATATTATCCTCAAGGTCTTCTTCATTCACATCATCCTAGAAGGGCTTTCAGGAGGAGGCATTCCAAGTAGGTCAGTGCAAGGAATTTGAGGGTTGTTGAACTAGAGAGGCCATTGAGATATAAATCAGGGCAATTTGTAAATTGGGTAAGTTTTGTGGTAGATTCTGTGGGGTAGGGACTTGACTTTAGAAAAGATCTATCTTCTTTGAGCTTCATTTAAAAGAATAGACTAGAAAACCAACATCTACTTTTCTAAGGATTAAATGAGTTCCTGGAATACAAATGGTATTCAATAAATGCTTGTGCATTTTCTTTCATGTCATGTCCCTTAGTAAATTGTTCAAAATCTGCAGGCTTTTTTTATTCTGAAAGGAATAGACACAAATAAGAACTCAGCAGAGATTGCCTGAGATGAAGGGGATATTGGAGCAATTCCATTTGGCCTTCAAAGCCCTAATGAAAAGAACCACAATGTTTTTGTTGTGTTTTATACAAGGACCACACACAGTGACTTACCTTTAACTCCTGGCTCAAACACAGATCATCATTTTGCAATTTTATGATCACTTTTAAAACATAGGTTTTGTTTATGATTGGTTTGGATTGAACCTTTAAATGTAAAGTTTTGAGAGATTCAATATATTGCATTTATTTGGGATCATTTTACTGATGTTTTCAATACATTCTGGGTTTGGTACCAAAAACATTTGACACACTGGGGACATTTCTCATGTATTTTATATAATCTTGGCATGTTCTATGGCTATCACTCATCTCATGCCAAAATAGGAATATGCAAAATGCCTTAAAAGTGATCTGTTTTCTTTTAAATTTTAAATTTTAAAAATTACTCATGGACTAGAAATTCTAGTTTATTGAGTAAAGCAAAAAAATAGAACATTGAATATTCCTGAGTTTAAATTCCACTTTTAAGTGACACTTGTTTTTATAGTCCTTCGTCCTATTTTATCATCTTATCTCAGTTTCCGGCTAGGAGCCCCCTATAGCAGTTCCTCATAAAGCAAGTATATGAACTACAGAMTATTAAAGTAAATCCCAAAAAGATGGTGGAAGAAGTGTGGAAATGAAAGAAGGCAACAGGTTTGAATGCATTGTGTTTGCTGAGAGAAACGTGGGGAGGGAGAACAGCAGGAAATGTTCTCAGTCTGTACACTCAGAGCTCTCTACCCCTGGAGGCTCCAGGAATATAGCACATAACGCTTGGTGGGTTTTGTCTACTGTTTCTCTCTGCACCTTGTCTTGCTCTGTATCCTCAGAGAATGACTCTGTCATTTTCATCCTCACCAGATGATTTTCAGGATTAATTCTTAATTATGAAGGATAATTCGTACTTCTCTCTAATAATAATTCTTTTCCACTTCATTTCTAAGGTTTATTTTAGTAAAGGGTGAACGATTTATATATTCCGAAGAGAAAATAGAGCATTATAAGTGTTATTTTCATAAAATACACTCCAATTATTCTATCTTACTCTGTAAAGCAAGAAATTCCCCTAAGAATTGCAATCTTATTCATAAAGCATTTTTTTAAGGATTGTGCATAGTTGAATATTTTATGTAAAACAACAAAAAATCCTGTGGTATTTTGGTGGGTAAAAATGCAACACTGGCAGCTGTTTCATTAGCCAAGCCTTTGGAAATGTGGCTGGCCCCCTGWCTATAGCTTATAAGCTTCTGGCATGTAACTCCAAGTAAGGAGGTGGCATTAGGAACAAAGTGTGCAGCTTCCAGGCTGTGCCCAAGTAGACTATAATTGCAATGTTCTCTGCCTAGCAACATTTTGGAGTCCCATTTCCCTCCCAACTCCTCTATCAAGTCATTGAACTTTTTTTTTATTAACAATTTTCTTAGTTTAATTTTTTATCTAATAGTAACTCAGGTACATTTTCAGAGTAATCAGCACACACACACAACCAACCAAATTAATACAGAGCTACCATCTAACTACTCTGTAACAAGAAATGCATGTATATAGACACACACACACACACACACACACACACACAGATACACATACATATGTATCTATAGATATATATATAAACAGAGCCAGCAAAGGGGAAATGCCAGCTCTAGGGCTCTGTCCAGGCTGTATGATGTCATGGAAGGCCATGGACTTGAGTCTGGCAGTGGAGGCAGGGCTCCTACCCTTTTCTGAGCCACAGTTATCTCGTCTTTGGAGTAGGATCATGAAAGTTCCTCTCACAGGGATATTTTGGGCATCTAGGAGAAGAGGATCACAGTGCCTAGGCATTTAACAAATAGCTGTTAAAGTAATAAAATTATCTGATCATGGCATGGTGGTAGTTTAGAAAACTCAAAATCAAGATCCTGTACCCTTTCTTTGGAAGGGATATAAGTGGGTACAAAATCAGTTCCAATTCGTCTCTTCCTTGCATAGTTAATATGGGAAAGAAGAAATGTGGCAGAAGCAATTTTTCAACTAAAAATAATATTTCCTTCCTTCATGACATCTTCTCTCCCTCCCGAATCACTTCATAAATGGAGCTCAGTTGTTAGCCTGGAGGAAACACTGATATGAAGGAGAAGAAAATAGGTTCTAGGTGTTTTGTCTCCTACATTGATGTTTGCTCTCCTATTTCAGTTACTTTGATCACCCAAAATGCAAATATTACTTAGAGTGAGCATTCACATAGATTTTGTTACTTTCTTATTTTCCCTTTATGTTTAGTCAATTTGCTAATGAAGATGCTGAAAGCCAGAAGTTCCTGACAAATGGGTTTTTTGGGGAAAAGAAGCTGGCAGATTACGATGATGAACATGTAAGTTGAATCTATGCTTTCAGGAAATAAACAGGTCTGAGGGTGTCTGATGTACCTAGGTCTCTGTGGGAAAACAATGTGACTGAAATTTTCCGAGCCTTGGTCAGCACATTCTCTGTTTATTCAGGCCCTTACTGGAATAAGGACTTGTTTTTCCTGTTCGCCATATGGCTGCATAAATCATTTATGAAATTTATTTGTTTTTTGGAGGAATCATTCTAACCCAAATGTAATCTGCTGTCATACATGTTTTCTCTTTTATATTACACCACCTGTACTTTTTTTTTTTTACTGAGTTCTATGTTGAAATCAAGCATCACATTCCATTTTAAAAGTACATGCTTTTATTGAAGTTGAGTAATAAGATGATTTTATCTTAGTCTTTGATTTGGTACTGTGATCACCAGGAGAGGTAATGTGAAAATAAGAATGACCCAGGAAAAGATGGGTCCTTTGGCCAACGTTTGCTTATGGTACATTCCTCTCCTTCAAGCATCCTGGAACGACTTCCTTTGGAATGTCCTCATTCAACCTGAGCAACGCCATCATGGGCAGTGGAATCTTGGGCTTGTCCTATGCCATGGCCAACACAGGGATCATACTTTTCATGTGAGTATCTGGATTGGGTGATGAGGTCTGTCCACACCTGCTGTTCTTTCAGTTAACACTCTGAAATGTGATCTTGGTGAKCAGGAAGAATTTGAGAAAGTATTAGCCAATTTCTCTTGCTTTTGGATAAAACAGCAGCCTGTGAAATAACTAGAGCGGTCTAATCATCGTACTTGCTCCCCCAACTGAATGGTAGACACTGGCATTAGTGGAGACACTGGTGGAGCAGCCCTACCAGTCCAGAGAAACCATTTTACAAGGATCTCAGTGTTTAATAGATGCCTAAAGTAATTGTTTAGTAGTCAAAAAGATATTACCCAAAAGCAAACCCGATTTTTTTCACATTCTTAGAGAAAGTAGCCCATTCAGTCCAGGCTTAGGAGTCCTGCATGCCTTGATGATATCTCATGCCCTGTTCCCTGTGCTCTTGGGCATCAGATACAGGGAGCACACTTGCCTTCTCTCTGTCCCATGAAAGTGCAATGTGCCTTCTCACCACTGGGCCTCTGCACATGCTTTGGAACACTCTTTCCTTTCTTCTTCATCAAGTTAACTTTTCATATGTCATCTCAACTTCACCTTAGTGCAGCCTTCCCTCACTTAACCTAATCCATTATATACGCACCACAGCTTTAGTATTTTAGTGTGTCTGATTCACTTGATTAATGTCCATTTCCCTTGCTAGACTATAAGTTCCAGAGAGTTGAGCCCACCTCCCCAAGACCTGGCTCAGTGCTTGGCTCAGAGAATCTTTGCTAAGTGACAGAGCTTATTCCTAAACCTGTGAGCTAAGGGTAGTAGCCTCACTTAGCTGACCTGTAGAATGGATAAAACATCATGACAGACACAGGCTTTTATGTGCAAAATGGACATTCTGGTATTTGTCAAGACACGGTTGACAGCAGTGGAATCCTTCACAAGAATAAAGTCTGAAGCATCAATGTGAACGCAAATCCTGATCCCAAATGCAAGCTCAAGAGTTCACTGTCTTAAGAATGCAACATTTATATTATAGATATATGCTATTTATGTTCTGAACTTCACATGTGATTAGATAATCATACAGCTATTTGAGGACTGAGGATCAGGACTATAAATATTTATCTTGTGTTAGTTCTTTAAATTATTTTATAAATGATATTCTTTAGCTGAATGAATTTTTATATCAACTTAACTTTTATAAGCCATGGTTGAAACAAAGTTGCTCTTTTGTTATCTGATTCTTAATGCCTGGAAATGTATTCTACATTTGTATGCTTTTGCAATGTGTACTACCTCTAAAACAAAAAGACTGCCTTCTCCTTATTAATTATACATGCCATTAAAATTAATTAGGAAGTTAACACAGATCATTGATGAATAGAAATAGGAAGCACTTCCCCCAATTCTAGAGCCATAGATCATTTTTACAGGAGGAGAATATTCTGGTTTTTGAAAGGGGCTCATTTTAAACCTATAAACATTTAGTAGATTAATTTAGCAAGAGTAAATAAATCACTAAACACATAGGATCTGTTTTGTGTGTCCAGTTAGCTCAAAATAGATTTAGCTGTCTCTCTTTGTTCACAACAAGTGACACAGTATTTCATTGGTTTTACTGGTGGTATTTTCTGCCAAAGTAAGTACATGTTTAAAATACAGGAGTGCTTATTTTTCCATTGAACAAAATTGTGTAATCTGATTTACATAATTCTTTAGAAACAGGTTAAGTTAATTAAGCATATGGGAAAATAAATGAATAAGTCATTGATTAGACAGTTCTGGAAAATAAGAGCACAATAAAGCTTGAGTACTTACAAAATGTTTAATTCATGTTCTAAATGTGCATTTGCAGCATTGATCTCATTGGGAATTACGAAAGGATTGAATCAATTGTTGGGAAAATGTTTAGTGTGTTCTCATCATGCAAAATAAACACTAAGATTTTTTTTTTAATTCAGGTAAAGGTTTATAATGTCCCTTCATTTATTATGTAGTTAATTCTTCTACACTCTTATTTTTGTACTGTGTTCCAAGATTTAGAGAAATATTGATCAGTATAAACTAAAAGAAGTAAAGAAACAATACACACATATTTTGGTTTCTGGATTCCTAGATTTTAGATTTCTTGAATAGCTCTTCAATTCTAAATGTTGTTGCAAATATGTTAAACCTATTCCTGCATGCTGAGTAAGCAAATGTAGTATTTGCTAATTTTGCTATATGTTTAGTTTCTAAGTTATAATGCAGATTCTGTAATTGTATAACCCTAAAAAATTTTAGGAATTTCAGCATGTAGGTTTAGACTTGTAAAATATAGACAATTCTAGATGTGTGACATATAAGGAAGAATGTGGCATTCTGAAAAGAATTTCTCAGTGTTCCCCAAGCACACATACTTTTGGAAAGCTATTGATTGAAAGTGATCAGTTATTTTAACATCTAACATTACAATATCTCATTTACTATAGAAATTTTATTTTTTACTCTCTGTTCCCTTTACAGAATCATGCTGCTTGCTGTGGCAATATTGTCACTCTATTCAGTTCACCTTTTATTAAAAACATCCAAGGAAGGAGGTATGCACACTTAAATTCGTATCTTAAGATAATAAAATATCTTCATATTTTTTGATTCTCATAAAAGAGTATTTCAGTCTATGTAGCTCCATAGCCAGAGATGACTTAGTCAGTTTCACATTTCCTTCTCTTCTAAGCCACAGTGACAAATCTCTCAAGGTTTTTAGTTATTTGGGCAAATTGCTCTGGTTCAAGCCCAATAGACAAAGAGAGACTTATCATGGATGACAGAAATAACTATTTTGACTGATACTTGCAGCTCAAGTGCCTGAAGCCATCACTTCCTATCTGGGCAACATTTTACTATATTGTTTCTTGATTTTTGACATTGCTTCATTTGGGTTTATAACTTTTAGGTAATGTTTACTTACGTGTTTGGTACTCTGGTGCAGAAATACTTTAGTATTTCTTCTAACAAGGTTATTTTATCTTTCATTGTAGGGTCATTAATTTATGAAAAATTAGGGGAAAAGGCATTTGGATGGCCAGGAAAAATTGGAGCTTTTATTTCCATTACAATGCAGAACATCGGAGGTAAGGGGGTATAGCTTTCAATAAACCACATAAACTTTTCATAGAATATTCAATAGATAAAGAAAACTCTTATGGCAATGAACAAGCACCTTCAAGATTAAAAAAAAAAAATAGCTGTTTAGATGGTTCTTAAATCTTCGAACTAAACTTTCTGGAATAGATTTGCTATTCATTTATAATTAAAAATACCAATATCTAGGAATTTAATGGTGTATAAATATCTACCAACTGAATTTTTAAAAAAATTTTTTTAGTTGTAGGTGGACACAGACCTTTATTTTATTTACAGGTGCTGAGGATCGAACCCAGCGCCCCGCACATAAGCTAGGCAAGCACTCTACCGTTGAGCCACAACCCCAGGCCACACCAATTGAATCTTTCAGTTTATATAGGATAAAACCTTTCTTTATCTCAAATGCTATTATGCTGTTATGACTTTTTAAGTGGAAGCACTAATGCTTGTTACTGGCATTGGCAAAATAGTTAATATGCCATAATTATGGCTGAGTTCCTTTCATAGGGTAAGTGGGGGCAGGAATAGCCAAATGCTGTGGCCCTTGAGCACAGTTGGCATAGAGCCAGCCCATGGAAGAGGCTCTTTAGTTGTCCTAAGGCCAACACCCATCTTCACACCAGAAGCTCTATAACAACAGATTGCTTGGTCTACAGATTCTTATAATCCCAGCTGAATTAGAATTCCCATAGTAGAGCCTAAAAATAAATATTTTTATCAGTGTTCTGGGTGATACCCACCAGCTTCATATGAGTTCTGTGATGTCTTTGACCCCCAGAAGGCATCATATAAGGTGTCCTGCTGGCGACATCTCTGATGTGGTCCCAACTGTATCCCCACATAATAGCTCTTATTTCCTTGCCTCCTACTCAGTCCCCCACCTGCTGTTCTATTCCTGGGTTCTTTCTTCTGTAAACACCAGCAACCATCCAGTTTTATAAGCCAGAAATCTTGTGTCAGCCTAAACTTTTCCATCTTTCCCTGACTCAGCATATGCCATCAAATATCACGTCCTGTCCACTTGATCTCTTACTTCTCGAGTCCYTCCTCTCCTTTCATCCTCATGACCATAGAGATCTGCAATATCAGCTCATACTATTGCAATAGTCTTCTGGTCTTCCAGCCTTGAGTTTCCCCTCTTCCATATCTGACTCATCCTCAAGATAAACTTTCTCAAAGTCAGATCGAGTCCTGTTTCTCCTATGCATAAAGTTCCTCATTATTTTTAAGGTAAAATCTAAACTCATTGGCCGGATATAAGGGTCTTCATTACGTTCCTCTGCTGACCTTTTTATGTCCATATCTATCCCCCCATTATCAATCCCGTACATTTGAGACAGGCATCAAACCATATCAAATTGTATTCAGTCTCTCAATAATACTAGTGTTAATTAAAAATTCCTCTATGAGGGTTTCTTTACACTCGCTGTTTCCTCTCCTTCAGTGTCTCTTGAAGACCTCCAACCCTGACAGATACACCCCAACTAGTCTTTTTCTCTTCTCTCTCTTCCTCAGGTCCATAGCTTTTCTAGGCTGTTAGATTCCCCTAGGCGCTCTTGGTCCTGTTTGTATATATTTGTACAAATGTTACTTTTTTAAAAAGGTATTTTTTAAAACATTTGAGGGAAAAAAATGTTTTTGGAGTCTATTGCACCTGCTTTTGAGACTTTTTCTATCATTTTCTGTGACCTTGAGAAAAATCACTTTATTCCTTTGAGTTTAATTTTTTCACCTATGAAAGTGAGTAATACTCTAACCTCATAAGGTCAATGTGAGGAGGAAATAACATAACATATGGCTAGTTCAGAACCTGCTTCCCTCCTCCCTCTTCTTAGCTTCAGTAGCCACATCTCTAGAGCCCCTCTGATCACTTTAAATGGGTATTTTTATAATTATAAAATAAATCTATGCTAATTGTAACTAAAACATTATATAAATATATAAAATACCCAGAAAAGTTTGTGCAAGTCACCCTCAGAAATAACTGCTCCAGGTTTTCTTCTACTCCAAATTTAACAATTGATATTGTTAATACTGGATCATCTTATAAATACTGATTTGTGGCTTGCTGTTTTTATTTAATAGTGTGCCTTGGATGAATTTGCATGTTATTCTTCTTTGTGACTTTCAACTTTTGCATTATCAATATGTATCATATTTGGTTTACCAAATGCTTTTTGATGAATAGTTGAATCATTTCCAGTGTTTCACTATTACAAATAATGCTGCAGTCAATAAATCGGCACAGAGACTTTGCAAGAAATCAACCCTTTTGATAAATGAACTCAGTGGAGTTACCTAGGATTTCTGAAATGTAGCAATTCCATTAATAACCTCTATCCAATTATACCTGCCCTTGAGAATGGACAGCTGTAATCAGATAAATAAAATCTAACCATATCTTAATGTGTTTTCTTTCTTATCTTTTTTCTTTTTGGTACTGGCAATTGAACCTAGGACTTTGAACATGCTAAAGATGCACTCTACCACTAGCTTAGCTCCCAACCCCCAATTTGGTTTGTTTCTCTTCATAGCTTTATACGTTATTATAGTCTTGGGTAGAATTTGGCAGTAACACCAAGATTGTCTCATTCATTTTACTGGATTTGGGCCATAAACATCTAAGTCCCTGAATCCCACCAAATAGACTGCTTTACATTTGGTTCACATATTTAGCCTTATCAAGATTTAAAGTATCAAGCATCTCATAGGATCACCTCATAGTTGATCTAATTTATTTGTTTTGACAACTAAAATAACCAGACATAAGCATATTTTGCCATGAACTCATCAAGCTGTGTGCTGGCAGCAGCAGTCATTCAAAGTGTAGCCACTGTTATGCTTCTAAATATGGAATAAACTATGCAGTGGGCTGTGTCAAGCCACACACAAGAAGTGTGGCTTTAAGGGAGTGAGATGAAATTTCATAATACCACTGCAAAAAATGCTCTCACTTTTTTTTACTTTATATGATTGGTGTATATTTGGCTTAAGGAAAACCACTTGTATTTTTTGATTAAGCAACTCCATGTTTGGAACACTTCATTTCTGCTATATTGAGTACCAAAAATTTAACATTCACCATAGATGTTTTAACACTTAGCAGAATAATGTTGACATTACCCACACAGATCTGGATAATTCTGAATTTTCAAAGGCCAAACACATTAACAGTGGTGACATCACTGAAAGTCAGCAATTAATAGCTCTAAAATTGGATGGGACCTCACTGAGTCAGTTAATCAGAAATATCTCCTGTTTACGCTCCATAAGACTCAGCTTTAGCCAAGGTCTTTGTAAAGATTAACTAAATAGTGTGTACAGAAGATGCATCTGGTATTATAGAAATCATTTCACTTCGACAACAGAGCAGCACTGATCCAGAAGTCAAGAAACTTGTAGTTTAGATGTGTTCTTCCCTTTATAAGCTGTGTGATCTTGGATATGTCATTGAACTTCTCAAAATCTTTATCCTCAGCTGCAGAATAGGATAACAACATATACCTCATCATCTCACAGGACTTTTTGGATGATCAAATGAAGTAATTTGCAGAACTAAACAATGCCAGGAAATTTTTATCACCATTATTACTTTCATTTAAAGTTAAGGAAGTATTTTAAAACTGTAGTTCAATTTACAACTCAGATATCTGTTTTAAATAAATGTCTATTAGCGAAAACTCATGAAGAGGATATAGCATACCTTCAAAGCTTCTATGTAAAATTTGTTAGTTTTATTTTAAATTTTGACCTTGTACGTTGTATCAAATAACAATTTAGTAATGTATTTCACTGAATGGATAGATCTGGTAAAGGGATGTTGCATAAATCTCTACAGTTTTCACAATCTATGTTATATATATGAGAAACATGTTTGTTTTGTATATAACATGTTATAGATAGATAGATAGATATTATATGTTTTATATATATATATATATATATATATATATATTCATTTTCCCAGATTTTCAAAACAATGCATCATCATTCATATATTACTTACCAAGATTCTGATGGAGTTTTGCCACTTTGTGTGATTTCTTATTTGGACAAAGGGAGACTAGAATATGGAGTAGAAAAGGAAACTCCCAAAAAACTTACTTGGCAAATAAGGGGAGAAACTGTCATCTTTTATATTTTTTCTTGGTTCTAGTCATATATAATAGTGGGGTTCTAGTCATATATAATAGTGGGGTTCATTTTGGCATATTCATAAATGCATATTAGATGATTTGCTCCATTTCAATCCCTACTACTTCCCCTTCCTCCTCCAATCACCTTTCTCTATTCTGTTACTTCCTTTTATCTATTTAGTGTTTTTAATTGGTACATTATAGTACCAAAAACTTAACATTCACCATAGATGTTTTAACTCTTAGCAGAATAATCATAAAAGTGGGATTCATGTGTGAACATAGCATAATTTGTTCAGTTTCATTCCACAGTTCCCTTTCCTATCCCTCCTCCATACCCTTTGATCCTCTTCCTCTGTTCCACTGTTCTTCCTTTTCATGAGGCCCCTCTTTTCTTTAATTTCCTTATTTCTCTTTAGCTTCTGCATATGAGAAAAAAAAAATTTGATCCTTGACTTTCTGAGCCTGGTTTATTCCACTGAGCATGATGTTCTCCAGTTCCATTCATTTACCAGCAAGTGCCAACAATTTCATTCTTCTTTATGGCTGAGTAAAATTCTGTCGTGTGTATATACCATCATTTTCTTTATCAGTTTGTCTGTTGATGGGCACATGGGCTGGTTCCATAACTTGGCTATTCTAATATTCTTTTATCAATCCAGGAAGACTCTATATCTAGTCACCAGTGGTCTGAGACTGTGTGTCCCTCAGGGAGATCACAGAGGATCAGACAGGTCTTCACCTGGGGAAGGTCAGAGTGATGTAGAGTCTCTTCATCTCTGCCCTACACTTCCGCCCTTAGTCTTTTGGCCCATGGCTTATGTTGTCAGACCCTGACACTAAACCTGGATCACTCAATACCATAATAATTTATAAGTAATGAGGACAAAGTTTGAAGTTGAAGCTTCCCTGAAAACTTGGAGCCGAATCTAACACAGAATTGACATTGACCCCCTGAGCAACGGTCCACATGTGAGAGCTACAGGGCCAAGAGTCTATTTTAAAAAAGAATTTGGAAGCACTGCAGAATCCATGGTGGCTTCCCTTTCTGTTTGGAGGATTAGATGATCATCTTGCCAAGAAGAATGGATGTTCCAAATGTCATGACTCCTTAAAACTTGCATGTGACTATAGTGCCGTGCACACCACTAAGCTGTCCCATTTTCCATTTTAGCAATGTCAAGCTACCTCTTTATCATTAAATATGAACTACCTGAAGTAATCAGAGCATTCATGGGACTTGAAGAAAATACTGGGTATGTCTTATGTTCTCTTTATAACATCAAGTGACTACTTCATCTTTTCTGATCCTAATATCCTCATCTCTTTTTCTGTCCCAGGGAATGGTACCTCAATGGCAACTACCTCGTCATACTTGTGTCTGTGGGAATTATTCTTCCACTTTCTCTCCTTAAAAATTTAGGTAAAATTATTTTCTAATTGAAACTATTTTTACTTTTATTTCATATTCTAATAGGTAAGCTGTTTGCGGATGCCATATTCACCTTCAAAATATTTCTGCTAACTCCTAGGTTACCTTGGTTATACTAGTGGATTTTCTCTGACCTGCATGGTGTTTTTCGTCAGTGTGGTAAGTGACTTGTGGTCCCAATCCTTGTAGCTTGGGAATCAAGAAATTGGTGTGTGTGACTAAATTGATGTCCCCATTTTTTGTCAAGCACTTCACTAGTTAGAAATAGTTCTTGCATCATGAGCAATTTTATTGTATTTTAATTTGGAAAAGGAAAAGAGTAGTCACAAGTTTAAAAATAGTTGCGTTATAGTTAGAATGTCAAGGCCACTGCTAATGGTATGCTGTAGGCACACTGGATGGATATTTGGATAAGAGTATATGATATTAATCCAATGTTTAGAAAAAGGGAGAAAAAAGTGAGGAGGCTCATAGGAGACATGAATAGGTGATACCATATCTGCACCAACCAGCTATTTTCTTTTCCACAATTCTACCCAGAGAGGGCAACCACAGCAGGATTAAAAATGAAGTTCTACCCCATCTTAAAAGGAGAAATTTCTTGAATTATCATGGATGCAAAATGTATAAAGCATTTCCCCAAAGAAACAAAGGAGGAAGGAATCGTTGACGACCCATGTTGTTATTAGTTTAAAGAAACAAAAGATATGAAATGTAGCAAGGAAATGATCATCTTTGTCATGAAAGGGCATGAAAAACATAGAATGGGCTCATGGAAAATAAGGTCTTGCGGACTCGAGGGGGGCAGTGCTGCCAACCACAGTTCCTGCCCTTTCCTTAGGAGAGAGACTAGAGGGAGTCCCCATCCATAGTCCATTAATCTAAACGGAATCCGCAGTTGAGTTCCCTCACGTCCGCCCAATGAGCCACACATAGGGATATTTATTTCACTGTTTTTCCTTAAAAGCTTGAATCTGTGTTTCTTTCTTTCTTTCTTTAATAACTGGGTTTAGGTGATTTATAAGAAATTCCAAATACCTTGCCCACTGCCTGTTTTGGATCATAATGTTGGAAATCTGACATTCAACAACACACTTCCAATGCATGTGATCATGTTACCCAATAACTCTGATGATACTGGCGTGAACTTCATGATGGATTACACCCATCGCAATCCTGCAGGGCTGGAGGAGAATCAGGCCAAGGGCTCTCTTCATGGCAGTGGAGTGGAATACAAAGCCCACGGTGATGACCAGTGTCAACCCAAATACTTTGTATTCAACTCCCGGGTAAGTGAGAGACCCAGGCTCTAATGAGCCCAGTAATGCAGGTTCTGAGTTTTTATTTCATGAACTGAGATGGTCTGGAATTGCCATCTGTGTTGACATGCTAAACATGTGGTGTTGTCTTTGTTTTACAGACGGCCTATGCAATTCCTATCCTAGCATTTGCTTTTGTATGCCACCCTGAGGTCCTTCCCATCTACAGTGAACTTAAAGAGTAAGGCAGCCATCATTTTAGCTCTTAATTTACTATGAAAATGTGCTCATATGTTCAATGGTGCTCTACCTGGAATCATGGTTTGTAGCTCTCTCGTGGGAGTCAGTGCTATAGCATTCATAAGTAACATGCTTCAACCAGCAAGGTATGAGTCAGTCTATGCACTTCATTACCTTATCTGCTTCCTTGTCTCCTCTCCCTCAACCATAATGGTTCAGGGGAAGGGTTCGGGGCTGGTAGAAAAGGAGCCAATGGGTTTAATGATTTGGGCAGGTGTAGGGTATTTAAATAGGAATTTTGGTGGGAAGTAGTGATATCAACAGATTGGAAATGACAATATGCATGAAGACCAAAACTTACTATTATAGTAGCCTTAATAAGCCATAGATATCACTTATAGTCGGTTCTTAACCTTTGTCTAAAGAGATGAGCCATTATATGGCCTACATTGTCTTTTTCTGTCTTGAAAATCTTATTTCTTTCAGCCGATGACCTATGATTCATTCATAGTCTTTTCCCTTTGAGGTTGTTGGCACCTACATGGGGACCAAGTGGGTATGAGTCCACTTTAGCAGCTTTCCTCTTTACCTTTTAGTTAGGTTATCACGCAGTGAGTCTCAACATTTTTATCCCCAGACAATAGCGTTACTTTTCCCCATAATTCTGATTGACCTCATAACAAATTTTTGGAACACCTTCAATTATTTTGATGTCTTTGATTTACTATGAAAACCACATATAGCACATACCTCAGAAGCCTAGCAAGTGACTCTAGGTAGGTGCATCCCTCTGGAGTGGTCTCTAGAAGTGGTTCACATGACAGTATCAAGCTTTGTCATAGTCTGAGCTCTTGGCAGTAGCAAGAGGTGGTTCTTTTCCTCATTAAACTCTTCTCATCATGAAAGGCAAAAGCTTTCTACATTAGGATCCAGTTTGATTCTTATGTTAATTACATTTTTAATTATTTAGTAGATAAGTTTACTTATTGATAGACCCTCTTCTAGGGAAATCGTTGTTTCTAAAACTAAAGAAACAATGTTTAAGAAAAAAAGAAAAAAGGAAACAAATCATCCTTAGCTCTTTGATAAATTTATATCAGCTGTAACACCAGAAATGTGGTTTCATAATGAGCAACAGACATAATTATTTTTTCTTTTAATTTTAAATAGTGATGTTTCACACGTTTAAGAAATGAAATTCAATGTTCTTTTTATCTTTAGTCGGTCCCGGAGGAAAATGCAAACAGTGTCAAATATTTCCATCACAGGGATGCTGGTCATGTACCTGCTTGCTGCCCTCTTTGGCTACCTAACCTTTTATGGTAGGTCACTCTGTCAAAGTCATTTGTTTGTGCACATCCTGGTTAGACGGAAAATCCACCTGGGTAGGTGTAATGCTTTTAATTACCTCTATAAGCAGCCTGATGAATAGATGATGCACATTCAATTAACTCAATTTTACCTTTGTCATCTGATCTAAGGAAATGAGCCCTGGACCAGTCTGGCTAACAGGTTATAACAATTTGTGAATTTTTGTGTTTTTTTATTTTTTATTTTATTTTATTTTTTTAAAGAGAGAGAAAGAAGAGGGAGAGACGGAGAGAATTTTTTTTAATATTTATTTTTCAGTTTTTGGTGGACACAGCATCTTTATTGTATTTTATGTGATGTTGAGGATTGAACCCAGCACCCCGCGCATGCCAGGCGAGCGCATTACCACTTGAGCCACATCCCCAGCCCATGTTTTTTATTTTTAATATCCACATATTAAATCATTTTCCTTCAGATATAAGTTGCATTTCTTTGCTAGACTTCCTGGTCCATCTCAGGCTAGAAGCAATGAGAAAGAATCCATTGCATGTGACAAGGCTCTTTTGATGGAATACCTACCTAACTGCCAGGCAAATGGCATAAAAATTATAAATTCTTAAGTTTGAACCTGCTTCTTATTTATTCACTACATAAAATCTGGGAGATTGTAACACTAAGAATTATTTCTGGTTTATGTTATTCTCTTCTATTATAGTGAGGGGTTTCCTAAGAAAGAAAGGCTATAGCAGAATTTTCTTCAATATGGGAATGTTCTTAAAAAATAGCATTATGCATTATACATTTTCTCTTTAGCATCTTAATAATACACAAAAGGAGTAGAATTTTTATATTCCTTCGATGAAGCCCAATAGAAAAATTACATGGAAGCAAATAGACCTAGAGCTGTATTCACACTAGTCATGCTAGTCAGTATCATCTTGGGTCTAACTTTCCTGACTGAGTTGGTTAAATTAAATTCATTGCATGACAAGTTGGGGAGGAGATGACTCAGGAGTAGGCCACTATTTGCTTAGCTTTGTTTTCTATTTGACTATTAATCAAACACTCGCTTTAGATTGGGCATTAACTTATTGTTGCTTATGGGTTAATGAAAGTCAGGGCCAAGGGCTGAGGCTGTATAGTAGCTCAGTGGTAAAGTGCTTGCCTCGCATGTATGAAGCTCTGGGTTCAATCCTCAGCACCACATAAAAAACAAATAAAAACAGATACTGTGCGTTCATCTACAACTAAGTAAATGTTTAAAACAAAAGAAAAGAAAGAAAGTCAAGGCCAATACCATTGAAATCATTTTTATCCCTTTGTATCTGATTTTGAGAGGGGTAATGGGAAAATCAAACTACATTTGCTTCCATAAATATCTCCATTTGTGTCTGGGATGCTGAGTGAATATATTTTCAAGATGAGCATCATCTTAATCTTAGAGCAATATTCATGGGAAACCCTATAAAAATCATACTAATTCTTTCTTACATGTTGCTCTAATGAGTTTCTTAAGACAAATACAAACTTTAAAAAGTCCAAGAGTATATGTGCCAGTGTCATGATGGAGTTGTAACTGTTGAAACTGAAAAAGTATTAGAAGTCAGTAGTCCCAGAATTTCCAGAATGTACTTGGAGAAGCTGTGTCAGGGGTGGCCGGACAGAAGGGATGTGTGGATAATATGGGATGGACAGTTTGGTGAGGTCTGGACCTTTTATCTCTTTCAACAAGAGTACCCCAGCATGGTTTGTGATGCTTCTCTATTGCAGACATTGATTTATCATGATGCAAAACAAGTTAAGAAACACCTGATCATTTTTCTTTTAGCTTCTACAACTTTTTTAAGCTTCAAGACTCCTTTGTTCATTTGACCAAAAGCCTCATGGCTTTATAAGGTTAAAGATAAGATACAAATGTGGGCATCTGGATTCCCAGACCTGAGTCTTTTTTCCCTATCCCAGGTTCCCTGCATAAAATGTGTCCTTGAGTAACCAGTGGCAACTTGGTAACACTAGGCAAACTCATTCTCTTCTTGTAGGAGAAGTTGAAGATGAATTACTTCATGCCTACAGCAAAGTGTATACATTTGACACCCCTCTTCTCATGGTACGCCTAGCAGTCCTGGTGGCAGTAACACTAACTGTGCCCATTGTCCTGTTTCCAGTAAGTACATAAAGCTCCAATGAAAGAACCCTGTTTAATCCATAGATCAGTACTATATTCTGACTTGATGGAGATTTAATTATCATGTGAGTTTGCAATTGCAATGCCCGAGGACATTATGCTTTTTACAACATTTTGGAGTCACTCGGAGTTGATCATTTAAGATGTATGCACAGCCAACATTTTTAAGCAGTGATTTTTTAGGTCTGGGAAAAAGAATCATGAAATTTACTTTTAAATTCAAAAAGCAGAACTTAAGCTGCTATCTTGTGGATTAGTAAAACTGAGGAGGAGTTCCGATGACTTCTGAAACTTGAAAGCAAAGACCACTTTAAGTGTCAGATCACATTGCATTTTCACAACAGTTTTAAAGGCATTTCATTTTTTTCTAGCTTCTTGTGCTGCAATAACATCCAAAAATTGTTTTATTTAATCCAGTGATTTGAAGGCCAATGAGAAGGGGATTCATGTTAAGTAAATTAATTACTAGAACAGAAATTCTTAAAAAATAGTTCTGTTATCCATCATGTATCTTTTCCCCCTCTTCCCCCACCAAGACTGACACATGCCTCTGGCAGGACTTGGCCTGGGAGCATCCCTCCTGAGCATTTGCCATTGCCATCAGTCTGTTGTGGGATGACGGAGGAGAGCTGACCGGGGGGCTGGGCCTGGGTGAGTTAAAACCACCACATATGGATAAACACAGGTCTTCACCCGCCTGCCCGCTCTTCTCCTTTCATAAACTGAATTTGCTCATTCATTTTAGGGGCAAAAAAATAAGTGACACAGTAGCTAGGATTATTATGTACAGAATGTTTCATAGAGGGCCTGGTGTAGGAGGACTCCTTATATAATGACACTGTGGTCACTTTAAATGCAGCTTGTGTGCTGAAATATATTTTGGCACATTCCTTTTTCATGAGCACATGAAATCAGATCCTTATTACTATAGTGGCTAATAATTTACTCTTAAATAATGTCTTGCCTGTAATGCATCTGAAAGTAATTCAAATGACACACACATAGAGCTTTAGCCTAAAATCAGCTCCAGCTTGCATACAAAGCAAAAGACAGCTGTAAACCAGAAGGTGTGCTACAGGATAAAATTTCCAAGCAAGCTGTTTCAATGAGAAAAGAATATTTGGATTTCTTCTTTTTTGTGGGTCAAGATACCACCGAATTTCGGAGGAGGCACTCACAGCCTTGTTGAATCAAAGCATTTGATGAAGGGACTCTATTATATGCTTCTGTGTTTCTTTATTCATAAGCCTTAAACAGTGTTTTYATGCTGGGTCGTCAAGAGATTGATGGGTGTGGCCATGATCATGTAGCTAGGATGTGAAGCTTATTGCATAATACCACCAACGGCTACTACTATTGGAATGGGAAGTCAAGTCAGCCTATTTATTTATTTATTGGTACCTGGGATTGAACACAGGGGCACTTAACTACTGAGCCACATCCCCAACCCCTTTTTATATTTTATTTTGAGACAGGGTCTTACTAAGTTACTTAGGGCTTTGCCAAGTTGCTGAGGTTGGTTTTGAACTTGTAATCCTTCTGCTTCAGTCTCTCCATCTGCTGGGATTACAGGCATGTGCCAGTGTGCCTGGCTAGCCTTTCATGTATTGGTGAGCATTTCATCTCACCATGAAAAAGCCTCATCTCCCCATGTGAGAGAGAAATCACTGGAATACATCTGATCATGAGGAATAGTAATAGTTTGTAAACATTAAAAGCCATTGAAATCAAAATTGGTCATGAGAACCAAAATTGAGAAGAGTAACTAATCACTATCTTTCATTATGCATTTTCACTCAACATTAGCATTTAGGCACCATTTTGCACAGTGTTATGATAAAATGATCTGCATAAGTACTCTCTTCCCCACTGGCTTACAAGTCCCTGGAGACTGGGTATGTGAATGGTGACTGGCAAAAAGGATGGGCCCTGTAACATTTGCAAAGGAACAATGGCTTTTAAAATTTACCTTGCATTTTCTTGAAATGTATAAACTGCTTTTTCTAGTAAAAGCATAGGCTGTTTCCCTTGCTGATGTACCATGAATTCAATTTGGGTGAGGATATGAGTTAAGTGAATCAAATCCCTGTGAATGTGATGGATTCATCCATATCTGTGATGGTGACAGATAAGTGGGTGAAACCTCTTTGTCCCAATCAAATCCTACAAGACTAAGTTCAGAGACTTTTTCGTGGTGATAGAAGTTGTTAAGTGTTGTCTTTGGTTATTTGCTTTCTTATAATTTAGGACCAAGGTTTTCAGTGTGTCAAATGCTGAGCCCCAGCATAGTTCTCCTGCCAGGATTCTTTGYATTAAGAAATCCTTGACCACTAAGAATTTTACTTGCTTTGATGTTCCCATGTTCAGACAATAAAACAAATAAACCTAGTCTGGATTAAAATGTATCAGTGTTAGCTATTATTTTGTGTTCCCCTTCTTTCAACAAATGATAACTGGGGGCTCTCTTTCTTGGGAGCTCAAGAAGATAGAATAGGGTTTGTTCACTTGTTTTCCTTTTAGTACACTATTATCTTCTTTTCCCCAATTGGATTAGTATTTTTCCTTATTTGTATAAGGCACATAGTTATTTCATGTCAAATGCATACATGCATAAATGAAGTGAATTAGGTCAGCTTTTTCCCTAGCAGCCCCACATTTATTTCCTGAGTAGTGGGGAAGGGGCCTATGACAGGCCTGTTTTCAGCTTGTGCTTCCCTTTATGTAGTTAAGTTCAMATGTCACCATAGTTTATCGTAAACACACAGACTCGAATTCCACCTGCTGTACTTTATTTTAAAGAAGTGATCACATCTCAAATTCTTTAGCTACTTCTATTTCATCTTCTTATAGTAAAATCATTCTTCTTCTCACTTGTATTGCCTTCAAATCCCCTGTGTTTTGAAGCCTGCACAGATACGGGCATAGAAATATGGCACATGTTGCCATGAACTGCAGTAGTGTAGGTATTTGCAAAACTCTTGCCCTAAGCAATCCTGCAAAGTGCAAGAGTCTAAACCATGGAAGAATTTAATTGATTGATTGATTAGCGTTCTCTTTCTACAATGCCTCTGGGTTTCTGACCTTCACATTGGGTCCACTCCTCAGAACACACCACCTCCTAACTGGCTGTACTTGGCTGGCTCTCAATAACTGTTTTTTCTAAAGCTGCACAGAACCTTTCTGGAATCACRCTGGGTCAGAGGCCCTGGGTGTTGCTGGGGACTTTCTCCACCTGCAGCATCTGACCCACATTTCCAGATTCTTATCAGTTTATGTCAAAAGAGAAAAGGGCACATGGAAACATAGAAGAGCAGACAAGCCTTTGTGGGTAATAAGAGTTGTCTCTGTCTCAACACTAGTGAACAGAGGCCCTGAGGACCTTTGGTCCCAGACTCAAAAAGGGCAGCGTGTTAACATAGGATGAATGTTCCCTTCCTGTTCCCTTCCATCACCACCACCACCACCAGCCTCCCTCACTCTTCACTCTGTTGCCCTCTTCAGGAATCTGTTGGCAACTCCATATTCCTTTGGTTTTGTTCAGGATTTTCTTAATCCTTACTCAGTAAGACAAAGCTTTCACCCTTTACTCCAACCATCCTACCTATTATTCCTGTAAATCTTCTGTCCTTTATCATCTGATATTTTCTCTAAAACTGCACACAACCTACCATCATGAAACAAAACCTAACTCTTTTTAGAAGCCACTAGACTTTAGGATGCTGCATTTATACTCAGAGGCCCTATACCTATATAGGATTGCTTTAACTCGCTTACTGAATTGAATGCACCATTGTAACAAAGATTACAAAGCACATAAGTGTGACATCTGCCTGAAAACAGAACCTGTCTTTGATTTGTTTGTAAGTTTAGCACTGTCAGTCGAGTCCTTAAGCACACTGTATGTATCACAGAAAACTTATTTTAAGCCTGCTAATTAGATCACTCTGGACAATACTGATGAAACACTAATTGTAAGACATAATGTAGAACTTACAGCCTGCTGGGGGAAATGACATCAACCATTTTCCTTTCCTTAGTGTGCTTTTCAAAATGAKTTTCATAATTTTCACTGATCCAGTTTTTAAAAAATTCCTTGTAAAGTCATTCCTAAGCCATTTTCAGGGATTATCTGGTTTGCCATTCTAGAAATGAAATTCCCTTTTCAACCTAAACAGATGGCTTCAATTTTTTGATGGAGAGGTATGAATGGAATGTCGCGTGAGAATCTGTGAGCAATGCATTTTTTTGGTTGTTCATGCATGTTGCAAAATGTATCTCACATTTTTTCTTTTAAATGAGTTCCCATCTCAACACCCTAAAAAGACTTCAGAACTAAAATTATTTAATGAAAACCAGTGCAGGCATTTCTAAAAAAGTGGAGTCTTAGCTTAACTGAAGTACTCATGTATTAAAACGCCAGTAGAGTAATTCCACTAAGTCAAAGAAGTGTCTTCTAACAGATTCCAAAGATAAGCAGGCTTCAGCTTTGCTAAGCTGTACAAACATAATGCACTCCCTCCCTCTGCCCACAGGGATCTCTCTATCCACTCACACCACAGTAACTTGAGCGGCTGCTGCCAACGGAGCCTCTCTTGACTCTCTGCCCACTTGTTTCAGCTGCTGAAATAAAGCTGAAATCTGTCAAGGACTCTGAAGGGAAAAAAGAGACTCCTACTGTCAATTTATTTCAGCATTTACTGTGTGCCTGCTACATGCCAGACACTAAACGAGAAACTCTGAGGAATGTTGAAATTATTAAATTCTTTCTATTCCTTGCCTTTTGTGGGCTTATCCTATACTAGTGGGGGAGGTAAGAGGAGATAAAAAGAAAGGAACAAGCACAAAAAGTACATTGTTTTAAATATCAGAAGGAAAACAATGCTAAATAGAAAGGAAAATTAAGAAAAGCCCAGGTTTGTAGAAATTCCTTTTACACTCAGGTGTAAATCAATTCAGTGCATGCCATTAGTGTTTAACCAGTCTGATGAGATGCCCATCTACAAGGCTTTTACTGTCTCTGAATTGTATATCTTATCTGTTCTTTTAACCACAATTCTGAAAAATAAGAAAGTGAGCATACAACCACAGAAAAATAACATTATCCTCCGACATCAAAAATCAGCATGAAATGGGCACAACATGAGTGTACTTAATGCCACTGAACTGTATACTAAAAAAATGATTGAGATGGTAAATTTTATGTTATGCATATTTTAAACACAATTAAAATATTGGGAAAAAAGCATCAGGATATTTTCTGGGAAACAAGGGAAAAAGAAATAAAATGCTTTAGACGGATGAGAATGCTGAAAATAATAGAAAAGGTCAAAAACAAAGAAATGATCTTGCCATTGAACATTGTGCTTGCAGATTCGTTCATCAGTGACCACATTGTTATTTCCCAAAAGACCCTTCAGCTGGATAAGACACTTCCTGATTGCAGCCATGATTATCATACTTAATAATGTTCTGGTCATCCTTGTGCCGACTATAAAATACATCTTTGGATTCATAGGTAAGTTTCAGGAAGACTTTTAGCCCAAATTTATACCTTCTTACATGGTGATCAGGAAGCCAGTGCTGGGTGGTCAAAATCCCTAGTCCATCTCAGGCTCCCAGCAGCCCTACTAGATTCCAGTAGCTGTGCCAGTCATCTAACCTCCCTAGTGACACTGGGAGCTACTTTTAGAGGTCACTTAGCCCAGCTGCCTTTTCTAAGGAAACTAAGCCTCAAAGAAAGCAAGTCATACACCTTGGGATGGACCCAGGATTTGGAGGTGGCTCCTATCTCTGTCATCAAGAAAAGAGGAAGACATCTTTGATATAATGAGAGCAACTAAGAATAGAGCAGGGAGGAAGAGCAGGAAGAAAAGATTGATATTAAACAGAGACACAAGATGGGAGGGAAAGAGAGAGAAAAGGGGAATTGCATGGAAATGGAAAGAGACCCTCATTGTTATAAAAAACTACATAAAAGAGGTTGTGAGGGGAATTGGAAGGAAAAACAAGGAGAGAAATGAATTACAGTAGATGGGGTAGAAAGAGAAGATGGTGTGGGGGAGGGGGATAGTAGAGGATAGGAAAGGTAGCAGAATACAACAGTCACTAGTATGGCATTATGTAAAAAGGTGAATGTGTAACCGATGTGATTCTGCAATCTGTATTTGGGGTAAAAATGGGAGTTCATAACTCACTTGAAACTAATGTTTGAAATATGATATGTCAAGAGCTTTGTAAGGTTTTGAACAACCAATAAAAAAAAGAAAAGAGGAAGACAGATTTTATCAACAGAAACTCTCTCAAACCTATAAGTATCAGCCAAGCATTAAGGAGCTCTTTGGAGGAGTAGGAGGTTGATTTTTTTATAGTATACTATTTCTATTATAGTATACTATTTCTATTATAGTATACTATTTCTATTAGTATAGTTAATATAGTCTATTAGTATAATTAATTTTTTGTCTGATGATTAAGGATTTGCTCAAATTTTAAATGTTAAACTTTATAAAGAATCAGGTATAGGCAACTTGAAAAGTAAGAGGTGGTTAGGAAGGGAATGTGATGAGCTGTCTCCTTAGTATGTACTTGCATTACTAAGCCTTTGTAAATTCATATTATTTTGGCCTTTTATTGCTTATGATACATTACATGTACTTGTGCAGTTATGCTGTTAGGTACACTTTAATTTTCTTTATAGACATACCTTCCATGAATAAGCAACCAAGATGAACTTATGTGATTTAAGCACGTGCTTTTAGAAGAACAGGAATAAGTTTATATTTGGTTTATTTATATTGGTGCTTTTCAGGGAAGATCTGCCTTGCGAGACCGTAACCTGCCCTGCATTTCCCTCCTCAGGGTCTTCTGCTGCCACTATGTTGATTTTCATCCTTCCAGCTGCGTTTTATCTTAGACTTGTCAAGAAAGAATCTCTTAGGTCACCCCAAAAGGTCGGGGTAAGTAAGGGCTCGCAATTTATCCCATTATAAGTTACTCTTAACTACATAGAGTAAACCAGAGAATATGATTGGTATGGAAAAATGAAACAAGGAACAAGGACCCAAAAACAAAGATGGGCTGGAACTTTCTGGTAGGAGGAAACAGGAATGAGTTCTGGCACTTGAATGATCTAGGATATCGCTCTTCAAATAGCAAATATTTTGTGTTGAGTCCTCTCACATCAAATGCTCATGGAATTTTCCCTATAGGAACATGTGCTTTATGTGCACACCAGTTTCCAGTGCCAAGCTGCAGCTGCACTGTCCACATGAAATTGTCAGGAAGGAAGTTGGCGACCCACCAGTGTTATAGAGCGGTGCAAATGTTTCCAACATGTTAGTTAGGTTTGCAAGGGCCAAGAGTTGCCTTGATTTTTTTTTTCTCCTTCTATAGTTCCCTGCTGTTCCCTGGTTTGAACTGAGATCCCAAACAGAACTCTTTGTTTTTCAGTTAACTTATTTACATACAAAATATGATCTTATTGAACTAGGAAGTGCCTATTTCTTTTCCATATAGTACTACAGAAACATATACTAGGAATATTTTTTTCCCAACAATTAAACATGCTCAGTGACTGCTTAAGAAAGTCTTCTATTAAGGTTTGAAAAGAATGGTTCTTACTGAATTACTCTGAATTTTTGCCTTGAATTTTTTCACCTCTTGGGATTGTTCAGAGAGTTCAGCACAGTTTGATATCAAAAGCTCTTTCCACCATCTTACCCATGAATTTTCTCTATATAATCCATCTTGCCTAGACTTTGATAGCAGTATTATCTGGGCAAGTGATTTGCCCTAATGGTGACCCATGTTTAGTTTGATTAGATGTAAAATTAATACCTAGACCTTTTCTAGTTTAAAAAAAAAAAGCTTCTGTTTTCCCATACATAGAATTAGATTGATTTAAGGCTTCTTCTAATGTTAAAATTTGAAACAGTGTATATACATATGTATGTGTAAGTAGTAGTAAATACCAAGATATATACACACTAACATATGTTAGTCTGTCATTTTTATTTGCATGCTTTATAAAATTAGAAATGTATCATACGTACTATTTCTTTATGACCAGCTCTTATTCACCTAAAAGATTCTGTAGGTCCTTAAATTTTTTGTCACTTTTTAAAAAATTTTTTATTAGAGCTTTATAGTTATTTATAGTAGTTGGGTTCATTCCAAAAAACTCATACATGCATGGAATTCAATTTCAGTTCATAATGCCCCTCTTTTCCCTTCCTCCCTTCCCCCATTCCCCTTCCTCTACTCCTTACACTTGTCTATTTATTTATATTTGGTTGRTTCTTTTTATTTATGCATAAAAGTGAAATTCCCTATGGCATATTTGCATAGGCACATAACATGATTTTTTAAGAATTCATTCTTCATTGCCTTCCTTTAACCATCCCTTCACTCTGCCTCTTGATCTCCTTTTTCTACATTATTGGTTTTCCCTTTGTCTTTAGTATATCCTATCCTTCCCTCCCCCTTTCCTTTTTTTTTTTTTTTTTTTTTTTTGAACTCTGGCTTCTGCATTTAAGAGAAAACATTCAGTATTTAAGTTTCTGAGTTTGGCTTATTTCACTTAACAGGATATTCTCCATATCCATCCATTTACAGGCAAATGCCTTAATTTCATTCTTTTTTATTTTTTAATGATCATAAGATATTCCATCCTTTGGATGTACCAAATCAATTAGCCATTACTCTGTTGTTGAAATTTTAGGTTAAATCACTATACTGTATTCCCCTTCTTTTCCCAACTAGGGTTCAAAATAGATTTGTTGGACATCTAAGTTATTAAGAATATTACAATTTAGAATGCAAATAGGATTGCCACCTTATGTCAATAACTTATAAAAACAAACAGCTAAATATGGTTTTCCTGTTCCCTAACAAATTCTGTCTGAATTACAGGCTTTAATTTTTCTTGTGATTGGAATTATCTTCATGATTGGAAGCATGGCACTCATTATACTTGACTGGATCTACGATCCTCCAAATTCCAAGCATCACTAACCTAGGAGAAAATGCTCTTTTTCTGTCGGAAGTGGTTGCAAGTTATGCCCAAATCAAGACATTTGAGTTATCTTGATTGGAATGTTACTCATAGGAAATAAAAGGAAGATTCCCAAGACATTTGCTATTAATATCACCAGACACCTACGAGAAAGAAAATCATGGTTTCTGTTGAGAATGGTTGTTAATGTATTTAAAATCCATGGTGCACATTGCTACCCAGGTTTGACTAGAGCATTGTGAGATGATGAAGGTGTGTTTTTGCTGCTATACAAGCAGAATAAGTGTGGCTGCATTTAAGGGTCATCAGATAAATACCTTTTCCTTTGAGCTGGCTCCCCACCCTCCACCTTCCCAAAGTAACAGATAGTTGTATTCTCAGAGCATTAAATTTAAAATGCCCTGGTGGCAAACTATCAACACTTAATGCCTTTCCACATCTTACACCAAATTCTTTGGGGCTTTTGGCTAACAGAAAGAAGCGAAAGACACCTCTGTGAGCTTGTCCCTGTGAGGTAGATGAACTGTCAGACTCTAGCCAACAGCACTTGGTGTCCCACTAAAGGRATAGTTTGCCCATCCCATTTGTAACATTGAATTAGTGACTTCTTCATTCAGTGGATTGTTAGGTAAATATTAAAACATTTTATTAAACATAGAGAGGGGCTTTATTTAAATTTAAGCAACAACAAAAAATAATGCTTAYAGCTCAGCTGCTTGCTGTGGAAGCATCTGCTTTGAAGTTGTTCTTAGTCGTCTTGTCATACTTTTGTCCTTGAACAATGCTCTCCCTCTCGTCTTCCATTCTCACTTAGAATGTTTAGAATACCACAGGTCATGTGGAGATACACTACCCAGTATTGTCTGATACATTTTTATTTGATAAACATTCAGTGCAGGAAACTGTAATTTCCTATATGTTTATGTATATAATCTTATTCTATAGTCATCAGAATGTTAATGTATGCTACATTTGATTCTGATTTTTTACATGTGTAGTTTTCTTTCTTCACAGTCAAAACATTTATATTATTGGGGTGGGAGCAGGGAATTAAGTTGGTGGGCTCAGAAATCCATTTGTATGCATCTGTCTATTGGAGATATTCTAAATTTGAAACCTAAGTTATACATAGTTCAGTAATGCTCTTCTTTGATGTTTACAATAATCATCATCTATGAGAAAACAGGCTCCTTATTTGTAATTATCAATGCTAAGGTTGTTCTTTTAATTTAGCACATCTAAATAGGATTTGGTTCATTTTAGCTTACGGAGGTGTTTGCTGACATTCGTGTGTCATTTAATACAATGTTGAGTGATTGTCCGTAGAAATAAAAGTGCTAACACTACAGAGAAATGCAAACTATCATTCTTGYTCATTTCCAAAACATACTTGTGTAGAATGGATTTAAAAGTTACTACTCACTGCCTAGAACTTCTAGAGTTCATTTCTTTGTCAAATCAGTAGCAAGAACATTTGTTGTATATTTTATATGTTAGTAAAGCCAAGTATGAAATATAAGTATCATACAAGTATGACATAATAGATAATATCTCAATAGTGCTTTGGGAGTGTACCAAAGAAAAGAAATATTTGTTTTATGTATTATTTTCTAGAGACATAATACTATAAAATGGTGCACTTTGCTATGAAAATTGAGTATTACTAGAAACTATCATAACTTTTAAGCACTGTTACTTGGAAAAAATTTGCCAAATAGCATCTTTAAGATATATTTCCATCTTCATTTCTCTAAAGAATATATCAACGGGGCTGGGGATGTAGCTCAAGCGGTAGCGCGCTCTCCTGGCATGCRTGCGGCCYGGGTTCGATCCTCAGCACCACATACCAACAAAGATGTTGTGTCAACCAAAAACTAAAAAATAAATATTAAAAAAAAACTCTCTCTCTCTCTCCCCTCTCTCACTGTCTCTTAAAAAAAAAAAGAATATATCAAAACAAAGTTGAAAATGTGTCTTCTGAATGTTAAAAACTGTTTAATCTGAATTTATTTAAATGTAAATATTAAAGATTAATCCAAAAATATTGAAAAACTGTAAAATCTGTATATATTTTGAATCTTTTTCATTTAAAATACTAACTTGAGAATATCAATTGTATACTTATATAAATATTCAAGAGCAGTCCTACAGTGCCAAATAATAAAGCACCATTTTTTTCCTCGTGGCCATTTTCAGGATTAGAATTCACATATTCTGCAGGGCAGACATACAGATGGTACCTTGTGCTGGTTAATTTAACCCCATTTGTAAACAGATGAAATTTTTATTTTCTTATTTCATTTATAAGATGGTTCAATGTATTGGGAGGCTTTTTTATTACAGGAAGTGTATATTGGTATATAATAAATGAAYTTTGCAAATGACCATGTTGTGATTTTCTTTCTCTTTTTAAAAAAGGTCATGAGTTGCATATACATGAAACAAAATTTAAAATCTAATTATTGCCCCTCTTCTCTTAGTATAGGATGCATTTTCATTGTGCACCATCACAAAAGCATGATTTCTCTATTCCCTGTACACACAAACTCCCGGATTGATTTATCTCACACAAACACACACATCCTGTATTATAAAATATTTGTATAAAAGAATACAAATAATTTATTTTCTTACAGTTCTGGAGGTCAGAAATTCCAAAACCAAGGTRTTGGTGGAACGGCCTTCCTTCTGGGATCTCAAAGAGAAAATCTAATTCCTTGCCTTTTCCAGCTTCAGGGAGTCACTTAAATTCCTTGGCTCTTAGCATCTTCCTCCATCTTCAAAGTTAACAGTACAGCATCTTCAAGTTCAAATCTCTGTCTCACTCTCTTTCATCACATTTCCTTCTCTGTCTGGCCTCCCTCCTTCTCTTTTAAGGGTTCTTGTCATTACATGGGGCTCACTCAGATAATATATAGTAGTAGTCCCTTGTAAAGATCCTTACTCACATCTCTAAAGCCCCCTCACTATCTAACGTTACATACTTGTAGGGTCCAAAGATTAAAATATGAACATCCTTGGGAGACCATCATTCTGTCTGCCACGTGCCCACATACTCCCCACACATCACAAGCACACCCTGCATGCCCTCTACCACTCACACAGGTGTACAGTCACATATACACATGCCACTTGCACATGTATATTATCCCAGAGGCAGTGGAACAAAGGATGTTAAGGAGAAGATACATTGTAGAAAGACTATCCTAACTGCTGACTTGGAAATGGAATGGGAAGGTGCTAAGATAGAAAAGAAAGACCATTGAAAACAGGAGGGTTTTAGTCAGTCATCGCGCACATTAAGAGCAAATATTCTCCTTGATCCCTTCATTCTGTGTTAAACTGAAGATGTGGTTTTTGTTCAGGAGTTTTCCAGAGACAGAGATTTCTCTAGAATGTTTTRTATTTGATGCATCTTTCTTTAAAATTTAGAGAGGAGGGAAGGGAAAGAAGTACTAGAGACTGAATAGAGTAAATTATATTCCATGAATGTATGATATGTCAAAATGAACCCACTATTAGTACAACTATAATGCACCAATAAAAACCTTTTAAAATTTTATTTAAAAATGATTAAACTGAAGGAAGGGGTATAAACCTGTATAATAACACATGAGATTCCAAACAGTATTTTTGACATTTTAGAAATACGGAGGCAACTTATTTAATGAGTTTTAACAAGTGGCACTTTTGACATACTTGTCATTAATTGTCTCCATTTGTGTATCAGACTTGTAGAATGGACATCACTAGTTTGAAAGAATACCCTAGTGATAATAATGGTGCTTTTATTAAACACTTCTGCATTCCCAAGAATCTGCAACAGAAAGGATATATATTCTGTGGAAAATTACAAACATTTTGGGAATATCTTAACCTGTTTATGTTTTTTACATACACACAAAAGTTCAATTTGATTAAAATCTATATCTAGTTGCTCTCATTATATCAAAGAAGACATTTGGTATTTGTTTTTTAGGGATTGACTAGCTTCACTAAGCATAATCTGCTCTAGTGCCATCCATTTCCCTGCAAATTC